AGTCCTGGTTTAGTCCTGGTTTAGTCCTGGTCTGGTCCTGGTTTAGTCCTGGTCTGGTCCTGGTCTGGTCCTGGTTTAGTCCTGGTTTAGTCCTGGTCTGGTCCTGGTTTAGTCCTGGTTTAGTCCTGGTTAGTCCTGGTTTAGTCCTGGTTTAGTCCTGGTCTGGTCCTGGTTTAGTCCTGGTTTAGTCCTGGTTTAGTCCTGGTTTAGTCCTGGTTTAGTCCTGGTCCTGGTTTAGTCTGGTCTGGTCCTGGTCTGGTTCCTGGTTTAGTCCTGGTTTAGTCCTGGTCTGGTCCTGGTTTAGTCCTGGTTTAGTCCTGGTTTAGTCCTGGTTTAGTCCTGGTTTAGTCCTGGTCTGGTCCTGGTTTAGTCCTGGTTTAGTCCTGGTCTGGTCCTGGTTTAGTCCTGGTTTAGTCCTGGTCTGGGACCTGTGCAGGTGTAGTTCAGGGTCCAGCCTTGGTTTTCTCCGGAGTTGTCGCTGTGGAACTGGATCATCACAGAACTGGACTCGGTCTCGATGGGTCCAGGGGCCAAAGACCCACAGAACGGACCGAAAACCCGACCCCCGGCCACCACCTGAAACCAGGACAGAACCAGGACAGAACCAGGACTAAACCAGGACTAAACCAGAACTAAACCAGGACTAAACCAGAACTAAACCAGGACTAAACCAGGACTAAACCAGGACTAAACCAGGACTAAACCTGGACTAAACCAGGACTAAACCAGGACTAAACCAGGACTAAAGCCGGTCTTGAGTCCTGACCTTGACGTAGTCGTAGGGGCAGGTGGCCTCAGGATGATCCTCCACGTCAAAAACCGGGTCAAATTCCAGTCTGACCCTGAACCCGGTCTGGACTTGGATCTGGTACTGGCAGTCCGAGGATTTGGGGTAAGGTCCAGGAAAGTCCGGACTATGGATGATCCCAGAGCGCTCCCGGAAAACCACGTCACTGCAGTGGACTGAAAGACAGACCGGGGTTAGTCCTGGTTCAGACCTGGTCCAGTCCTGGTCCAGGTCTTGTTTGTATTTTCTTGGGGCTTAATAGTTTGACCTGGGGTTAAGCTGTGACTCTGGTCTGATCCAGGTCCTGATCCGGGTCCTGATCCTGATCCGGGTCTAGATCTGGTTCACGAGGACCAGGATTAACTTGTATTTATTTGACCACAGACCCTTTGAGGACTACAGGCCTGGTCCAGTCCTGGTCCAGTCCTGGTCTGGTCCTGGTCCAGTCCTGGTCCGGTCCTGGTCTGGTCCTGTGATTTTCCACATTAATTGGTAGAACTTTTTTTTCTATTCCCATGTGTCCTTAAACCAGGACTAAACCAGGACTAAACCAGGACTAAACCAAGACTAAACCAAGACTAAACCAGGACTGAACCAGGACTGGACCAGGACTGGACCAGGTCCGATTCCTTGAGCCTCCTGATTTCTGTTTAACTTTGTGTGGATTGTTTTGAGTGGAATTCTCCTGATCCGGATTAAAGACTCAAACAGTCACAGACCAAAGACCAGAGACCAGAGACCAGAGACCAAAGACCAAAGACCAGAGACCAAAGACCAAAGACCAAAGACCAAAGACCAAAGACCAAAGACCAAAGACCAAAGACCAAGACCAAGACCAAAGACCAAAGACCAAAGACCAAAGACCAAAGACCAAAGACCAAAGACCAAAGACCAAAGACCAAAGACCAAAGACCAGAGACCAGAGACCAAAGACCAAAGACCAAAGACCAAAGACCAAAGACCAAAGACCAAAGACCAAAGACCAAAGACCAAAGAGACCAGAGACCAGACCAGAGACCAAAGACCAAAGACCAGACCAAAGACCAAAGACCAAAGAGACCAAAGACCAAAGAGACCAAAGACCAAAGACCAAAGACCAAAGACCAAAGAGACCAAAGACCAAAGACCAAAGACCAAAGACCAAAGACCAAAGACCAAGAGACCAGACCAGACCAAAGACCAAAGACCAAAGACCAAAGACCAGAGACCAGAGACCAGAGACCAGAAGACCAAAGACCAAAGACCAAAGACCAAAGACCAGAGAGAGACCAGAAGACCAGAGACCAAGAGACCAGAGACCAGAGACCAAAGACCAAGAGACCAAAGACCAGAGACGACCAGAAGACCAAGACCAGAGACCAGAGACCAGAGACCAGACCAGACCAGAGACCAGAGACCAGAGACCAGAGACCAGAGACCAGAGACCAGAGACCAAAGACCAGAGAGACCAAGAGACCAGAGAGACCAGAGAGACCAGACCAAAGACCAGAGACCAGAGACCAGAGACCAGAGACCAGAGACCAGAGACCAGAGACCAGAGACCAGAGACCAGAGACCAGAGACCATGAGACCAAAGATGTGTCAGGTGTGGTCCTGTCACCTGTGCAGGTGCGGTGTGTGTGTGTGTGTCAGGTGCGGTCAGTGTGTGTGTATCAGGTGCGGTCAGTGTGTGTGTGTGTGTCAGGTGCGGTCAGTGTGTGTGTGTGTATCAGGTGCGGTCAGTGTGTGTGTGTGTGTCAGGTGCGGTCAGTGTGTGTGTGTGCCAGGTGCGGTCCTGTCACCTGTGCAGGTGCGGTTGTCGGGGTGGAGCTTGTATCCGTGGCGACAGGAGCAGTAAAATCCTCCGATGTGATTGTGACAGAAGTGATCACAGAGCAGCTCCTCGTCTGAGCGCTCCACACACTCGTCCACGTCTGAAACACACACACTCCACTCAGGCAGGGACGCACCTGACGGGGACGCACCCGACGGGGACGCACCTGACGGGGACGCACCTGACGGGGACGCACCCGACGGGGACGCACCCGACGGGGACGCACCCGACGGGGACGCACAGGGACGCACCCGACGGGGACGCACGGGGACGCACCCGACGGGGACGCACCCGACGGGGACGCACCCGACGGGGACGCACCCGACGGGGACGCACCCGACAGGGACGCACCTGACGGGGACGCACGGGACGCACGACGGGGACGCACCCGACGGGGACGCACCTGACGGGGACGCACCCGACGGGGACGCACCCGACGGGGACACCCGACGGGGACGCACCCGACGGGGACGCACCCGACGGGGACGCACAGGGACGCACCCGACGGGGACGCACCTGACAGGGACGCACCACCGACGGGGACGCACCCGACGGGACGCACCCGGACGCGGGGACGCACCTGACAGGGACGCACCTGACAGGGACGCACCTGACGGGGACGCACCCGACGGGGACGCACCCGACGGGGACGCACGCACCTGACAGGGACGCACCCGACGGGGACGCACCTGACAGACACAGATATACTCGTAGATTTAAGTCCATATGTCCCTCTGCATCTGACCTGTAGTAGTAGTAGTATTTGTAGTAGTATTTGTAGTACTTGTACCTTGGGCGCTGTAGTAGTAGTAGTAGTAGTAGTAGTAGTAGTAGTTTGTAGTAGTATTTGTAGTACTTGTACCTTGGGCGCTGTAGTAGTAGTAGTAGTAGTAGTAGTAGTATTTGTAGTAGTATTTGTAGTACTTGTACCTTGGGCGCTGTAGTAGTAGTAGTAGTAGTAGTTGTAGTAGTATTTGTAGTACTTGTACCTTGGGCGCTGTAGTAGTAGTAGTAGTAGTAGTATTTGTAGTAGTATTTGTAGTACTTGTACCTTGGGCGCTGTAGTAGTAGTAGTAGTA